CCCCCCCCCCCCCCCTCAAGAGCCTTCGAGGGAGATGGGGGTAGTGGGACGATCGGAAACTACTTACAAACAAACTGATGAAGAATTTGATTTTCCGAAGATTACTTACAAACAAACTGGTGACGAATTTGATTCACTGCCATATGGCAATGCAAAATTATCAAAAATGTTTGAAGTTAATCTGTATTTTAAAAATTCCCAAAAGTGCATTGTCAGAGAGTCACTACACGATCGCATTCTCGATTTATTGCAGTGCCCATGTAAATTGTTTGCAAACTGACTTGCTGATGGCAAATTGACATGCAAATCACTCGTTTACAAATTGGCTTGAGCTGGAGGGGTTTCCAAGAATTCTTGCATGCGTTTTCCAAATTCGTAAAAATGCTAGACCCAAATAATTGAAAAATAGCTACATGGCGTCAAGGCAGTGAAAGTCGCTTCAGCAAAAATTTTTATTTTTAAGGCCAAGCCTTAACGAAAAGCTGCATACTTCTAGATGTGATAGTACACTTACATTTCATCGGGACAGTTGTATGGTTGCGCTAAGCGTTTGCCTCGTTCGAGATTTGATGCCAACTCGTCCGGATCTACATCCATATATGGCTGTTGTCCGCACGAAAATAATTCCCACAAGGTCACCCCGAATGACCACTGAAAAAAAATTTAAACGAAATGTTCAACCACAACTGCCAAATGTTTGTTCTGGATTCAAGAACGCCAACCCGCCGCTGACCTTTTGTTCTCCTTTTTTCGGTCAAAGTTAATTCACTCGTTTTGCCGCCTTCGACGAAACTTTGAGCTTCAATGTCAAATTCAATGCCTCTAGGCCAAATTTAATCTTTTCGTTCATCTTAACATTGTAGTGATAAGGTCCAGTTGTGGCGCCGTTCACTGCTAAATGGACCAAATCTTACCCCATGCTGTCTTCATTTTCACCCCTTCGATTTTGTTTCTGTCGTAGTATTTTGCACTCAAGTAACAGTGCAACAGCTCATTACAAAATATGCATAATTACTGATACGTGTGCTATTTATTCAACGCTTCAAAGTCTATCCCGAAGAAGTCCTTTGGCTGAGTTGGGGACAATCGTAGAGTCAGGGCTCAGGTAACGAAGTAAAATGTGATTGTTGCTTACAACGTCTGTGGAGCTGTTAAACGAGTTGTGAAGCAAGGATTCGTAAGCCATCCATTTTAATGGCCTGCTCTCTTTGTCACCGAGACAATAATAATCGTGAGGGAAGAAATCCTTGCTCAAAGCCGAGTCGCAAAGTTGCACATGAAGGCGATGCCGGGCATGCACTTCGGATACCAAACAGTTTCTGAAAAAAAAGTATTGAATTAAAAGTTTGTTACTTCTTAAAAATTATTATGATTAACAACTGGAGTGTGTTTCAAATTTTTGGTGTTCGTAAAAAAACAGAAACATCGCTCACCTAGCAAATATACATTTTTGTAATATCAAATTTAATTTCCACAGTTTGTTTTCTGCTGTTTTTTCTCATTTCCATTATTTCCTTCTAACATTACACTGCTAAACCACCATTGTTTATATATTCACATTGACACATATACAGCGTTTTAACAAAAATCGCTGTAAATCTCGTGAACAACCAAATCCTTCATGTTTGTTCATTGGTTTTAATGATGAAGTAGAAAGTAGCTCGGGGAGTACAAAAGAACAAAATTTTCAGACAGTCGATTGCTTCACTTCCGAGGGTTGCTTATAAGCAAGCTAGTGGCGGGTTTGTGGCGCTGGTACATGCTAGTATCAGTTTGTCATCAAAATGAATAAACAAATCGTAGAGGGACTGATTGCCCCATCGGCTCTTGTACACACAGTGTACGACAAAATGCTACTTTCCATTGGGCCAAACGAAATCCTTCCTGGCACATACCGTTGCAAATGCTCTGAGCTTGCACTGGCCCAAGTTTCTGACAACTTTCAAAAATCAATTTTTAAAACCTCCACACTGAGGAGATGTTCATACTTTCGCAACGGAGAGTTTTTTTTTTATAAAGTACCGACAATTTACGCAGATGCTTTATGCAAATTTCAATGAATAAGAGAGCACGAACCTCGTTGCGATATCCTTATGGATTACACCGAAACTGTGTAAATGCATCACAGCATTCACGATCTGCAGTGCCATCGTGACGAGCTCGTGCGCACGCAACGTCTGCACGCCGCTGCCACCTTTAAAGTATAAAACAATCAAATTCACTGCGCGTTTTTATTATGCGTTTTTTGCATCTATGCAGTGCGTAAAACGCATATTGACGAGAGGTTGCCTGTGTGTGCGTGTGTGTCTGTGTCTGTGTGTGCGCTGGGCCTCTGAACAGATTTTTCATCTCGAGACGCACAAAAGCTACAGGGCTGAAACTTTGGAAATTTAATCTACACGCGTGTATAGGCACTCACCTTCAAAATGAGCGCTCTTACCCGCGTGGTGCCCACGTACAGGCCCGCCAAAGTTTTTTTCGGGTAAATTACTAACTCGGAAACTTGAAAAACTAGAAGACTGGAATTTTTGAGGGGATGTTCCCAGTCCAAGTAGGTATTTTCAAACCCATTCCCGATATGCCTGCGGGGAACTATGCAAATAACGCATTTTTGTATCGGCAGTCAGTGCGCAGGCCATTTATTGAATTCAAAGTCATTCCACCCCTGCCGTGTTAGCTCTCCGGGGGAAGATGAAGCGCTTGGCAAATAGTCCAAGTGGTAGCAAACGCCAACAGCAACCATTTGCAAACAAGGCTGTCAGTGGCTCTCATTTTCAAAAGTTACTCATAAGCAAGTTAATGGTGGTGGGTTTGACTCTCTGACGTATATCAGCATTAACGCAATTCTGCTCACAAATCTGCGATCTTAAATTCAAATTTATGCTCATTTTGAAGCTCCACCAGAAAGCACTGAATCAATTCTGCATCCCTGTAAGGTTTGATTTTAATCCGGGACTTAAATTCAGGAACGATTTTTTAACTCTAGAATAGAGAGGGTTAAGCTATTCTTTATTGTTTTACCCACAATTTTTTCGAAAAGAACCCGGAGTACTTTTAAGAGTTTTAACCCGTTCATTGCAAGTTAATATAATTCTGGAATCTTTTTCCGTTGGATCGTCGCATGCCTTTGGGGCTTTTTGCACAAGGCGATTACGGAAAAGCTGTCACGCTTTTCAAAATTTCTCCTACTAAATCATTTCGGGAATTTTTACCCACTAAGCCACTGCTTGCACTTACGAACCCCCATCTTCCCAGCGGGCTACATCATAAATAAGCAATCGTGATGAGACTAAACTGCTTGTTGATCCACTTTCACACTTAGTAACATTGGTGAGAAGTGAGAGTAAGCTTTGAAAACAGTAATAATCCTGAAGTCTACACAATTGTAAATATAAAAAGAACCTGTAAGGAGAGAGAAGGGCAGAGGTAAAGGGTAGGAGATGGGATTTGGGGATTGCTGGAAAAAACTTTTAAGCCTTACTCAAGTGCTTATACGGGGCACCATCCGATTCACTGCGGCAACTGATGAGGAACTTTTTCAAATTGCCAAAGCCGTGATGGCGATAGCATATTAGCGGGAAGTCGACAATCTGTTCCGGATCATCCAAACGGCCGTAAGACGCAATAGCAGCAACCTAAAAAATACGGTTAGACCACAGTCAAAGTGTTTTCCGTATTGCATCCTCAGCCTGCCATATGACCAATCAAACGCAAAAATCCGAATACTTCAGTGTCTTTTACCGCATTTTGTAAGCCTCATAATAGATCGTTTCTATGAGTGCATATATGCACCCCTTAATAGTACCGCTTTTTATGCGCTTTATGCAGCTATGCAGTGCAGAAAACGCATATTGGCGAGAGGTTGTCTGTGTGTG